CCGGAAAATTATATGGGTATAACTCTTGCGAGTGTCATACACAATAATTGCGATTCAACACAATAGCAATTCAAAATGAATATATTCTTACAAAAATACCATTCCTTATATTCTCTGCTCTTTCATCATCTCTGGAGAAAAAAATTTAATTTCAATTCACTTTCAAATGGATGTTTGTGATTCCTTGGGCAATGAGACCTGTCATGCAACTCAGTGTGAAATTGTATTATTAAAAGTAATTATATATATATAAAAAGTGTGCAACTTTAAAACTTGTTCGTTTGGTAAGTGTGTTATTCAGGCAGACAAATGCAATTATTTGATAAAATTAATATTCTTAATATGTACACTATCAGAATTTTTGTTTTAATTTTTGAATGAAGATAATTGATTTTTGTTAACTGTATAAAAAAGAGTTAACCACATGTGACCAAACTAACTGTTAAATATGAAAGTCAACACTCTTCAGAATGCAATAACATTGTCATCCGATCCTCTTAAAACCAGAAGGAAGCTTTTGTTTAGACTGTAATAAAACACTTTGCAGTTTGTTTACTTTACAATTGGGTGTGACAGTTTGTTTTCATTATCACCCTCCCATGAAATGAAAAAATTTTGCTACCCTTCTGCAATTACAAAGCTGATGTCAATCTATGAAATTTGAGATAATCTACAGGGAAGCTACATTTGATATGTTTATTTCTGCTATTTATCTAATCAAATTTCAATAAAATAAACGTAGGAAACCTTAGAAGAAAGAAAAAGTACATAAGATAAAATTGTGGTTTCTGATATCTGATGGCCATAATTTTACAATCTTATAATAAAAGGCTCTACCATGCACACATCACATGGTAGAGTGAGTGACACATGCAAGGCTATAATAGCGAGTGGCAATTAGTATTATTGGCTTAGAGCCTAAAGATGCCCCTGTTGATCATTTACCTCACCCAACATGTCACAGAACAAAACAGTGTTTCAAGTCACTTTGATAACAGGTGGAACTGACATGTGCTCAACTTCCACTTGTGCCAATCACTTAGAATTAGCTACTGTACACATCTTTATGCAGCAAACAGTACAATGATAATACTTGAAGACATTGCAAGATAATTTACAGGTATCTGTCAACAGCTTATAGCTTGGAAGGCATAGGATCATTCAGCAGGATAACAATCCTAAGCATATAACCAAGATTGTTAAGAAATGGCTCCATTATAAGGTACCTGAACAGCTTCATTCACCTCCTATGGAATACATATGGGACAAATCAGAGAAAATGTTCGGCAATACAGCATCTCTAGTAGATTCCTTAATGGAAGCATTATCCTCTGCATGGCTCAAAATTACACTGGCTACTACAAGCAATTTCGTCATGTCAATGATCCAGATATCACAGGCAGTGCTTGAATCAAAAGGAGGGCCTATGTGGTATTAGTTTATTTTGAAATGCATAAATTATGCAATTTTTTCTATCCTGTGTATGTAGACTTTCGTGACATTTTAACAGTAAAACTTCCTGCCCTTGGAGCAGGAAAAAGCTTTGAATTAGAGAATAGAGTAAAAAATGCTGATTGTGAATTTTTTAGAAAAAGTTTGATTTATTTTTAATCATTAATTAGGATAAAAAATCATATCAAAAGATATCTTACTATTGATAATATTTGTCTCTAAAATTTTTTCAAATAATAAAATATTAAATATTAATTTTTTATTTATATAAAAACAGTAATTTTGATATTTAAAATGACACATAAATTGACATAAATTTGATTTTTATCTCTCTTGCATTATATAAGGAATAATTTGAACATTTTGCTGAAAAGTATTTCTTTTTTAACTATCAATGTATTACAAGCTATAGGTAATAATAGTATATACGAATTTACATTTTCTGTGCCCTTTTCCTTTATTTTGAATCACCTCAATGAATATTTAGCAAAACACTTTTCAGCAAATATAACATGATTCAATAAAAATCTATAGCTATGTATGTATGTATGTATGTATGTATGTATGTATGTATGTATATATATATATATATGCCCAAAGTGCAGTATATAATGTCTTGAATTATATACCTGTTTTAGTGGACTTCCTAAATTGCTCAAAATATTATAATGAACATAGTAATTAGTAGTTATTGTTACAATAACTACTAATTATATATGTTACCGCTAAAGCTCAAAATCCGTTAATGTGTACATTACCTAGCTAATCTGTAGATTAACTAGGATGATCCGTTAAAGCTGCGAAAATTGTTCAATTTCTCAAATTACCTAGGTAATTTGCAGAGTATCTAGGTAATCTGCACATTAACGGCTTCCGTATCGTTAAAGTTCAAAAGTTTGTTTCTTTCACTTCCTTTCCCCACTCCTTCTTTTTACGTAGATAAATTTAAATCCTAGAATGCAAGCAAGCACCGAATTGGTGAGTAAAATCAAGAAAAGATTCTTCGCAAACCTCTTTAGCGAAGATTTAAAATATAATACGTAGTGTTTTAATAACAAACCAAAGTATGATTCCATAATTGAAGATGTAAAGCAAATAAAAGTTTCCAAGAAGAAAGAATCATCTCGAGATTATCAAATAATTCAAAGGTGTGATGTGTTGACTGTACGAGGCTGTGAAAAACTCATTGAGCCGTTGTCAGATGCGCGAGAAAGGTTTGAAAAAGTTTGTCCATGCCGGAGAATTGTTTGACATTCGATAAAAACTGAAGAAGACCTTGAAAAATTAGAAGATTCACAAGAGACTGTGATTATGAGATCACAGTCAAATCTTACTCAAGAGGACATTCCGTTATCCCCCGCTTCTACAGAATCACCTATAGAAATACAAGAATTTACCGATAGTAATCTTAAACTGCCTTCTATACCGTTGATTGATGATGCAGTCACGAAGAATATTCAGTTACCCTGCACCTCCAAGGAATCGCCTCTGCAAGTTGAAGAAGTCATCACTGAGTTACTCTCAACTTCAGCAGAATCGCCATCACAGTTTCGTACGGAGCCTGTAAAGAGCACTATACAAGACATAGTCTGTATTGTTTGCTCAAAAGCAGCATCAAGTGCTCACAAGTGTAAATCGTGTAATATGTTTGTTCACGCAGTTTGTGGTGAAGTAGATCCTAAAGAGGAAGGGTATGGTAAGAATGTATTGTGCATCATCTGTAAAAAGAATATGGATCAGAAAATACAGCGTGATGAAGCCAAGAAATGTTTAGAAAAGCAAGCAAAGAAAATGTTAGCAGTTTCTAATGCAAAGCACCCAAACGTCGATGAAGGTTTCGCTGTGAGAATTAAAGTACCCGAAGAAGACAGAGCAAAAACTGATGCACGTTCAATTTTAGCTGTGGTTCTTAGTAAAACAGAGGATGGCTTTTATAAACTTGATACTAAAACAGGTATTTTAAAACAATTGTATGCAAAATCTGAATTCAGTGTTTGCAAAGAGAGATTTTTAACGAAAGAAGATGGATGTCCCTGCTGTAGAAATATCTTTACGTCAAACAGCAATAAAACAATCCCTTGGTACTGGGCAGGGTTTCAGAAAATGTGACTGCAAATCTAAATGTACCACAAATAGGCGTGCTTGTCGCAAAAACCAATTGCTACGTAATTCAAAGTGTCACCAATCTTTAGATTGCACTAATAAGTAAGTACAATTTTATCATATGTTTTGCAAATTCATTTCCCTAATTGTAGTAATATTTTAAACCGTTTGATTTTTGTATTAAAGTTTTTTTAATTGATTGATGATTGATTCAATCAACTAATTTGTTGATTGTATTAACTTGATTCTTTAGATATTGAAAATTAAATAAATAACATTATGTTAATTTAAGCGTACAGAAACGTTGCTGTTGTTCCAGCAAAAATCTTATTTTCACTTTACCGAGTGCCTAGTAGGTAATTTGCAGATTACCTAGATAATCTGAACATTACCTAGGTAATTTGAGAAATGGAATAATTTTCGCAGCTTTAACGGATCACCCTAGTTAATCTGCAGATTAGCTAGGTAATGCGCACATTAACGGATTTCGAGCTTTAGCGGTAACATATATATATATATAAGCTTGTTAAAATAATTGAATTTATCACAGTGAAAAATTTGAACATAAATAAATGATACATAGGTCTGTAATTAAAAATTTATTAAATTTCAAATTTACAATATTCTTTTAAAAATATTTAGTTACAACTTAACTAAAATGTTATTTCTACCATATAAAATCACTATAAAAATTATTGCAAGTAATCAAAAGTTAAACTTTTTGATGTTTTTGATTTACATATTATATACATACTTTACTAAATTAGAAACTAAAAATTATAATTATAAACTTTACATCATATACATACATACATATATAAGTACAACAAAATTACACAAAAATAAATTCAATGTAAATATTACAGTTGTGATTCTTCATTTCTCAAATATCAACAAACTGGACAACTGTAGCAGCATCCATATCTGCCATGTTAAAAACTGATTTTCTTTGCACAATACTACTTTATTGCACTTTTAAAATTATTTTTAAATTTTATCCAATTAGCTACACTAAAAATTATTTGAGCATTTTATAAATAATTCGTTATGACTAATTTTTTTTTGTATAAAAAGATATTGGAATGTTAGAAAAAGTTTGATTTATTTTTAATCATTAATTAGGATAAAAAATCATATCAAAAGATATCTTACTTTTGATAATATTTGTCTCTAAAATTTTTTCAAATAATAAAATATTAAATATTAATTTTTTATTTATATAAAAATAGTAATTTTGATATTTAAAATGACACATAAATTGACATAAATTTGATTTTTATCTCTCTTGCATTATATAAGGAATAATTTGAACATTTTGCTGAAAAGTATTTCTTTTTTAACTATCAATGTATTACAAGCTATAGGTAATAATAGTATATACGAATTTNTCTCTAAAATTTTTTCAAATAATAAAATATTAAATATTAATTTTTTATTTATATAAAAATAGTAATTTTGATATTTAAAATGATACATAAATTGACATTATATACAAAAGTCTTAAGGCAATTATTACCTAATTACATTGGATTATTTATAAATGCCTAAACTGTACAAAATACAAAAATTATGCATAAGGTTCAAAATTAATAGTTTTCTGCTTTATCTATCATTTGTAAAACATACTTTTTTAATCTTCAATCTATACTTGTAGTAAGAAGAAATGTATGGCTTTAAATTTGTACTAAGACAATTATTATTTTCTAGAAATATCCAGATTAAAAAAAGCACTATGGATCTATAAAATAAAATAGATTGGAACACTATTTAAATAGAGAGCTTAACAATTTATTAAAATGATATCATTTGTGACTGCATATTAGTTAAATTATCACTAGTGACTATTTTGACATCACTTTCATTTTAATTAATATTTGTACTGTATTAACGTTCTCTCCCCTACTCTGTCTCCACATCTTGTAACAAAAATTAAATTTTACAACAGCAAACATACTTTTTGTTGTAATTTAAATACTGTTGTAGAACTACAACAGAATAAATGAAACCTGACCAGCAGATTATCATAATTGTCTCGTAATCATGTACGATTTTATATACAGAAAGAATTATTAAAATTCATAGAAAGAACAAATATTAACAGTTTAAAATTTTAAAAGGCACTCCAAGTATATTTACAGATTTAATTTGTAGAAATTATATAATTTTAATTAATTGCTTGGTAGAATATCCAGCGAAGATAGGATACAATAATACCTGAGGGAAAGGAGTGAAGTTGCCACAATACCTAATCAAAAATAGAATATACCAATCAGTAAATTAGAATTAAAAAGAAAACATAGAATTTTCATAATTTAAACTGTGTCAGTGACTGTTAAGTTCGATATACAATTAAACAAAATTGTAACATGTGTCAGGTGTGTATATGTTACTGAGCGTTGATGTACAGGCAACAGAACTGTCACACGTGTCCCTAAGAATGTGGGGTGAGATTGTCCCGCCTAGAAAGGGAGAAATTGTGCACTTGCCTTTTGGTATGTTGAGTCAGTGCTGACCGGGGAGCTAACCAGAGTGTATAGCTGTGTGGCTGGTCAAGAACCAGTGTTGTGATTATAAATTAATTGTTGGGTGCCTGAGTGTTGCTCGCTTGTTTGAGAAATTAAAACTTCAAATTGTGTTGTAAAATATTCCCGTTTACACAGTCTAAAAACAGTACATTATCACATATTTCTTTTTGAAATCAATGCTTTGCGACAAAGATGGGAAATTAATGACAATGCATGCCTTTTATTTCCCATCTTTGTTGCAAAGCATTGAAGAAACAATTTATTTTTTTTGGAATCACATTATATCATGTCAAAATGTTTATTTTACAGTAGTAACAACCAATATATAAATTTACCTTTAACTATGAGTCTTTAAAACTTGCTAAGGAATTTGGTGAATCTAATCCCTGTTCACTTATGGTACGTAATGGAGGGCATCTTGGTTCTGGTGAAAGTGTTTCTGGAATTGATTCGTCCGATGACGACGACAAACTTCTATTGTTATAATTAGTTATTTCATTTACCAAATCCTGAGGCAATGGAGCACCAACTGCAAGATGAAGTGCCATTTCTTGCAACCAAGTTTCTAGTTGTTCAAATGGAGGTCTAAAATGAAAAAATAAATAAAGTTTTAATAAAATTCTGAAGTATGAACTTAAATAGGAATAAATGTAATTAAACCACAAGCCTTTTTTCTGGATCCAAATCACAACAAAGAAAAACTATGGTATAAAATGACTCAGGACAATTGGCACAAAACTTTTCTTTAAATACTACTGTGTTTAAACCAAAATCATTACTTCTTGGCAAATAGTCAGGGTCAGCCTGAACTCTTCCTATTATCTAAAATGAAATATTTTGAAATGTAAATTATGAATAATTAAGTTTTGAACCAATATATTAGTTCAAAAATTAATTATTTCTAAATCAATTTTCTTACCTCACATAACACAATTCCAAAAGAAAATATATCTACTTTTTCATCATATTTTTTACCCTTCATCATTTCAGGAGCCATCCAGTATGGGTTACCTACTACAGTATACCTTTTCTTTCTTTCATACTTTTTAGTGGAACATCTTTTTCCATATCGACGTGTAGAATACTGATTGCTTTGATCACATATAATTCGGGCAAGACCAAAATCTGCTACAACAACTGTTTTATTCTAAGAAGAAAGATAAAAAAAGGCTATAATGAAATAATAATATAGATCTATCATTTAAATTTTATAAGTCTCATTACAATTAAACAACAACAAAGATTTATCCTTATATCCAGCTTTCTTAACATTTCCAATTTAACTGGCATTCTGGGGCATATGTATCCAGCAGATACATGGTGTTTTTTTTATTGAATTTCTCAAAAATAAATAACAGTTGAACTGATGGCTTTGAAGTATTCCTAAACTGATTCCTACAAAGGTTTTCAAGTTTATGACCCTTTATTCAGAGAAATTTTATTTAAAAAAAAACAATACTATACATTCTGCAATACTATTTACTGCAATACTATACATTCTATCTTTTTCTCTTGGTTTCAATGTCTGGACCAATCCCAGTTCATTTCAAATAAGTCATTACAGCTATTTTTGACAATGCAATTTTCTAGCTTTGGTGTTATCACCCTTCTTCCTCATGATCAGAGCATGATAAGAAATTTAAATTTTAATTGTTGCAAAATTGAAAGTATTATGTTCATTACATAGCAATGCCATTTAGTAATTGTTACACAAACATTTATTTGGTAATTTTATCAACATTTTTTAAACAATTAAAAATAAAATTATAGAATTCATTACTGGCAATACTAGTTTTTAATCTAAAAGAAAACATTTTTTGCAAGAAAACAATTTGTTAGTCATTTGACCCACTACTAACAGAGAAGGGAGTTTTTGAAAACAAAGTAATAAAACAAATTAGCAGTTTGTTGTCCTTCACAGTGGGGAACCAGAGTCTATTACTTTTGCAGGAGACAATAAACAAAGCTTTACTACGCTGAAGTTGAAAGATATTACAATCCTGTGAAATTGAACAAATCTGAAAGTTGAAATGATTTATGGTAAATTGAAATTTTGTAAGTTTAGTTTTTTGCATTTACAGATCAAATTACTGAAAATATAAATAAAACTCTCATTCTTTTAACCCACAGTATTTTATACTGTTAGATAGTAGAGAAAATGTAGAAATCAAAGATATAATCATAGTCAAGCATACATAATGCAAATTTTATATTTTAACAGATATGTATCTCACAGATACAATGCCCCAAGTAAGTTCTTAAAACTCTACATGCCTAAGGGAAGTTAAGTTAGTTTAAATTTTACTAAAACATAACATTAAATCTAAATAATTCTAATTTAATTTCTTTGGTGCTTTAAAAAATTATGAAATCTATTTTAATATGCTTCACCATTAAAAACATTCCATGTTCTCCTTGGAAATATATTTTAGATCAGCAGTGAACCCATGACTCATGCAACAATTTCAAGGTACAGTACAAGGTAATTACATGTAATATTAAATGTTTAGTAAGTATCAAGTTTTTATAAATTATAAAAAAACATTTGATAGATTTAAGATTCTGCTTTCACACTAAATATGCAAAAGTATTGAAAAGCTATTGTGAAAAGTCAAAGGCACAAATTAACAGATAGAATTTTAAAAAGTCATCAAGTAAAACAACAGATTTCCCATTAAATGAAATGGTTATTAACATTATAATCACATTATATAAATGAATAGATAAAAAAATGAACTTTATTTTATAGAAAAATAAATTTTTGAAAATTAAAAAACCAATTAAGCATTTTTTTATTAAATTAAATATTTTGCTCACAATTTGGAATTACTACACTTCAAATTCAGTTTTCAACCACCACAAGAAAAAGTTTACCATCACTATTTTAGATGGTCCAACCAGTACAGATTCTGTTACAAATCAATACTCATGCTGTACTTATTAACATATTAATCCTTATTTCAGTTATATGTTGCTTTTTGTTAACATATTTTAAAGATATCATTTCAACTTTCACTCTAGTCAGACAACTGTCCAGCTAAATATTTCCTTCAACCAGTTAATTTAAATTTATGTTAATTATTTTAATCATCATAATTACAAAGCAATGATTTATATATCTGGCCTTTAAAATTTAAATGAAATCTCAGAAATCTGAAATAACTACCGTTCTAATAAATTCAGATAAACACACTATATTTGTCCTGAGAAATTGAAACATTAAGTGTAAAATATACAACTTTCCTTTCTAAATTTTGTATTATTGTTACTGATGATGACAAATGATGATAATTTTGGTTTATAAAAAAGAAAATTTATTTATAATAAAATATAAAAAATTGTATAAATATAATTATACACAAAGTATTACCTCTCTTACTAAACAGTTATGAGAATTTAAATCCCTATGAATAATATTCATGGAATGAAGATAAGCCTGAAAAAAATAAAATAAATATTAATAATAAATACTTTTATTTATTATAATTTATACCTGAAAATTTTATTTTTCATTTATCATAAATTGAACAATTAAAACAGCAAGGCCGTATTTGGGGCAAGACTATGTCTTGGAGACTCACTACTAAGCGGAATCACTTTGACGCTCAAGGCTGGTCTTGTCCTCATTCGCCAATCTTTGGCATTGCTGGTTTTGAGCGCAATTTTTCAAACTGCTGGCCATGACCACGAGGTTGTCCACAATGCATTTTCGGTGAAAGTAACCTATACAATTCTCAACGCTACATGTCGCCCCAAGTTGAATTTTTGTTCATGTCTAACAAAAATTTCTTGTTTTTGAAAAAAATAATCTTGGCTATCATATCATCCAAAATTATTTTTTTATTTTGCACAAACAATATATATATATTAATAAATGTAGAAAAAAACCAAATTATATTTCAGAAGTTAGTTTTAATATAAAATTGTAACAACTAGCACCATCTACTTTGAAAAAAGGTTCCAATGCTGAAACGAGATATTGCAGGTCAACCGGTCAAGGTCAGCATGTCACAACCAGAGATATGGCGGTAATAACATGGGACAGGTAAATGGGTTTTTTCGAAGATTCATTTGTCAAAATTTGATTTCTCATTTTGAACTTCCCAACACACGTGTTTGTCAAAATTCAATTTCACAACATTTGCATTCCCAACGAGCAATGCATGCACAAATCTCGCACTACTGCCTGTTTGTAGAGAGTGTCGCCATTTTGAATTTTATTTTGACTCGGTTCTCGGTCCCCCGAGTACCGAGAGTTTAGTTTTTTTATGCGCGCATGATTTGGCCAACTAATTAATACTCTGTGCCAAATTGCAACTCCTAACATGTACTCCTTCATACCTCTAAGTTGGTTACCCAGCAGGCAGTACAATTTTATAAACGACATAGTCTTGTCAAAAATTAAAATTTAATAATGTTTATGACAGCTTACAAAAACAAATATTTTAATAACTTGTTTTGCAAAATTTAATTACCATTTAATATTAGTATGTTTTTTAATTTATACATTTTTAGTTATAAATTTTATTTGTACTAGATAATAAAACAAAAAAGTAGCAGCACAAGAAGTTGGTGGTACAATGAACATCCAGCTCATAGCATGCTAGGTTTGACTTGCAACATCACCAAATGCTTCATGCTAGTTCTTGTGAGATTGATCTCCTGGTGTATATAAAACATTAGAGATTTAGGTTATGGAACCTTCAAGCAGAGTTTTACATAGTCAAACCAAAGTCAGAGTATAAGTAGGAGAACATCTAGCCTTTCCAACAATATATTACACAATCAATGAAAATAAGCAAATATGGCAACCTTAGTAACTTTAATCATGAACTGATAGGTCATTCCATCTTTGAAATGGCAATAATCCTAGAATTCTCAAGGACAACAATATCAAGTCTACTGGGCTTATACCAGCACACAGCAAACAAACATTGGCTACCACCATTGATGAACAAAGGATGGCTTAGAACTAACTGTTACTCAAAAGACTTAATACAACTGAATATTTATAAACTTTTCCCTCCATAAAAAAAATCTTAAAAATTCAATTGCAAAATTATAGCACATCTTAAACATGTTTTAGGTATTGTATTTTGCTGATTCTATTTTATTATTGCAAGCTTCTAATTTTTCAGTAGAACTAAATCTACTTAAATAATTTTCTGTTGGATTATTCATCTTACTGACAAGGAACAATATTTTCTGGTTATTATAATTTGAGACTGTTCACCTTTTTAAAAAAATAACATACCCTATTTAATAATACAAGGATTGGTTGAAAAGTAATGCACAGTTACACCTAATGCAAGAAGAAAACATCATACAGAGCAGCATGTGTTGCCATGTGGTAGCTACATTCCCACACCACATCAGAAATATAACAATTTGTTGAATTCCACTCACTTGTCCTTTGTCAATAGCTGTTGCCCATGGAGTCAAGTGTTCCTGCTATGTTGATATGTTAAAACAATGCACAGCAATTGAATTTTTAAAAGTAAATCCTAATGGATTCACTTGTTCTGCTGTTAAAAAGTCGCTAATGGCATTCATTGACATCTACAAGCTGTTTATGCTTATAAAACTATTGACTGAAGTACTGTGAATAGGTGGGCAATAACATTTCATGCACTGGGAGTTGGTAAAGTAAATATTGAGGATGAACCTAGCAGTGGTTGACCAGTTTCTGTGACTGATGAGAAGCTTGTAAAAAAACAAATCCAAAGCAATTGTTGCATCATGTAATAACACATTACCCAGCTAGACATATTTAAAGATCAAGCAATTGGATTATTGTAAAATTCGTTCATGGTAAGTATTGTGCAAACTTCACAGAAAAGAGTGAGAAATTATTTGACTGTGACATCATCACAATGCACTAATTTTAGTAGTGTCTTGCTCCTGTACATCATACTTTTCCTGTTAACAATGAAGTCATGCCAGTCATATATTTAACTCCATTTAGGAGAAAATTTTTGAATTGAAATAATGTGACTTCCAGCCCAAAGTGGAAGTCCATATATAGTTAATCCAGATAATGAAAGCGTAGTGGAAAGAGACTCCTAAGCTTTCCATATTCTGTCTTGACTTTCCTCTAGCTAACACCATTCTTAAAATTAAAGGATGACAGACAGAGAGACAACAGTGGAAATTTATAGGTCTACAATTTCAAAATTGCAACCAAACAAATGACAATGAAAACAATGTTGCAAACAATTCTGAAACATGTGACAGGAGACAAAAGTTCAGTGCATCATTATGACCCAGAAGAAAAAAAGACAAAGCATGGAATACTGGCATTGCATGACCCGAGAAATTCAGACAACCCTCTGCTAAAAAAATTATCTTGACTATTCTGAGATGTCAAACATGTACACAATGAAGTTCTTGGCAGTGGAATGACTGTGAATTATGCACAATACATAGAGACCTTAAAACATTTGAGATGTGGTTGTTGTGTTAGAAAATCCAACTGAGCTGATAACCTTGCAATGTGATAACATTCAGCCACACATCATGCAATATTATAGAGGCTCTTGTGCAGTTGAAATTTGAATCCATTCTTTAACCTCCATACTCATTGGATTTGGCATTGTGCAATTTTTACTTCTTCCAAAGTTTAAAGAGGGACCTTAAGGGCATTCATTTCACTAAGAGTGAAGTGAAGGCTGCATTGAAGTCATGAATCAAGGAAAGACTGCAGAATTCTTCATTGATGGGATGAAAAATTGGTTCACCACTGGGAGAAACGTAGAACTGTAAATGGTGGCTATGTTGAGAAGTAAATGGTTCTTATAGCCAATAAAGTATACTTTCTGGCCTTTTTTTTATTTCATATCTTTTAATTTGTGAGTTATGAGAAGTGTGCATTACTTTTCAGCCAATCCCATAATAAACATTATAACAATGAAATTCTAATCCCAGTTGTTTTTAAATTTTTTCTCTCATAATATGAGAGAAAAAATTTAGAGGATATGGCTATCTAAAAGACATATTGTCTTTTAGATAGCCATATCCTCTAAAAATTAACAATACTGAAAAATTTTAAGTAATGAATAATGGTTTTATATCCTTATTTGATTTTACAGAGAATTATAGATAATTAATTAATAAAATGCTTAAACAAAGCAATTTAATATAAAACCAAGAAAGCAGTTCCATGGTGTAAGTTAAAAATTGGACCATATTGATACAATTGTATAATATGTTTAACAAAATTCAAAAAATTAATCACATCCGTAGCAAAATTATAACAAATTTCCAAATATATGTTTTAAATCAATCATATAATTTTCATGTGTTTAAAATGAACTAAAAACTTTATTTCATTATTTGCAAATCTAATTTCTGTAATTTATATAATTTCTGTTTATTATTTGTTTTTTTATAATAAATTTCATTATTAGTAAGATATTTAATAGCAATAACTGATTTATAGTCAATATATATCATTAAACTTAAACTGAATACTAAAATTTTAANTAACTGATTTATAATCAATATATATCATTAAACTTAAACTGAATACTAAAATTTTAAAATAAATTTTGCATATTACCATTCCCGATGCAATATCTCTTGCAAAATTCACACGCTGTTCCCAAGGCAATGTTTCATTTAAATTATGAATGAGTTCCTTTAATGTTCCACCACTTATGTATTCAGTCACCAGGTGAAGTTTCTTATCTTTATATAATACTCCGATGAAGTGTAGAACATTTTCATGGTTTAATGAACGAAGGACAGCTACCTCTTTTAAAAAGTTCTTTTGTGCTTCTTCATCTACCCTGTACAGTTCTTTCAATACCATTACCTCCCCAGTATCTCTGTGAGTTATCTGTTTTAAAAAAATTTATTAACAAAATTTGTTATACAATTATTAACAAAACTTTATTCTTATTTAATAAAGTTTGGATTGAAATAAATATGTTGTTTACATACCAATCAAATATTAAAGCATAACTATTAAACTAATATTTGTATAGTTAAAAATAAACAGACTTAATTTTGAAAAACACATGATACATGAAAATATTTATATTATTTAAAATGTAATAAATTAATATTCAATTAGCATTAACACACACAAGAGTGCAACATTATTAGAGCTAAACCAAATATTTGATATTGATATCAGAGTTGATACTGAGATTCATTTGATATATCAATAATAAATAAACTTCAATAAATACCATAAAATATCACACATCAAAAATTATCAAGTACTAATAATACCAAACACCAACATTCAGTATTTATCTACAATATCAATATCACAAACATTTGCCAATTTCAGTTTGATACATTTGTTATTAGCACAGCACTAAACATTGTCATATCAAAATTCAATATACAAAATGCAAAAATATAATTACCTGATACACTTGACCAAAAAAGCCTTTTCCNATTAAACTAATATTTGTATAGTTAAAAATAAACAGACTTAATTTTGAAAAACACATGATACATGAAAATATTTATATTATTTAAAATGTAATAAATTAATATTCAATTAGCATTAACACACACAAGAGTGCAACATTATTAGAGCTAAACCAAATATTTGATATTGATATCAGAGTTGATACTGAGATTCATTTGATATATCAATAATAAATAAACTTCAATAAATACCATAAAATATCACACATCAAAAATTATCAAGTACTAATAATACCAAACACCAACATTCAGTATTTATCTACAATATCAATATCACAAACATTTGCCAATTTCAGTTTGATACATTTGTTATTAGCACAGCACTAAACATTGTCATATCAAAATTCAATATACAAAATGCAAAAATATAATTACCTGATACACTTGACCAAAAAAGCCTTTTCCCAAAAGTTTCCCTTGTACAAGATCAGATGCACGGAATATTCTGTGAGGTTTTGGCTCAACTCTAAATGATTTCGTTCTACTTAAATCATAAGGAAGTCTGCTTGAAGATGAAGATTCACTATCAATAATATAACAATACAATTCAAAATTAATGTTTATATATTTTATTATTTTAATATGAAACATTTTTTACCATATTTCCTTGCATTAGGTAATCTGCAGGCATAAAGTGAGATTGACCAGAATGCCAGGAAACCCTATTTTATATGGTTACTAAATTAATTAGAAGAAAATCTAACTGAAATTTTTTATTTTATACTACTTTTCAAAAAGTATTTCTATCCTATCAAAACAGAAAATATATCATATGTGTCATCAAAATTGTTCATATAGTAATTAGTACAAACAAATTGTATACTTTCAAATAATAGCAAGAGTATTATGTGTATATCTATTAAGTCATCAAGAATGAAATTTGTAGGTAATAATATTGCCAACCGTTAAGTCTGATCCATCTCAGAGTGCCTATGAATTATCGTTGAGGTTTGGTGTTAGCAAACAAATAATATTAACTTATTTAGCTCAAATTGGTAAAGTGAAAAAGTTTGATAAGTGGATTCCACGTGAACTAAATGAAAAACAGAAACAAAAGCATTTGGAAGCTTGCTTGATGTTGCTTTGTCATCACAAATCTGACACATTTTTGAATCAAATTGTCACTTGTGATGAGAAATGGATCCAATATGACAATCGCAAACATTCAGCACAGTGATTGGATGGGAATGAATCACCAAAACACACTCCAAAATGCAATATTCATCAAAAGAAGCTGATGGTGAGTGTTTGGTGGTCTAGCACAGGTGTGATCCATTATGATTTCATGAAACCTGGCTCATCAATCACAGCAGAAATATACTGCAACCAAGTGGACAAAATGATGCAAAAAGTTAAAGAAAAACAGCCTAGATTGGTCAACAGATCAACTCCTATCTTATTGCATGATAACAATAGACCAAACACTGCACAAATGACTGTGGCAAAATTACAGAAATTGGAGTTGGAACTTTATCATCATCCTTCATACTCACCAGACCTAGCCCCCACTGACTACCAGTTCTTCTGCAATTTGGACAACTTTTTAATAGGAAAACAATTTAATTCCGACGATGCTGTAAAACTGGCCTCCCGGGAATTCATTGACTCTCGTCCAGCAGGGTTTTATACCACCAGCCTGAACAACCTGCCACTTAAATGGCAAAAGTGTATAGACAATATGGGTGCATACTTTGATGAATAAAATAATTCCTTACATTTGTAAGTTATCAACCAACTTTGCCTTTTTTTCCACAAATTTCATCCTTGACGACCCAATATATTATGAAACAGAATAATGCTTTATCTAGTCATATTTTAAAAAAAATAAATTATTAAATTATTTTGAAAATATTAATGACATACAATTTTATTGGTCTCAACAATCTTGCCAAAATCCAACTTATTAATTGATTGCTTGTATTAGGAAACTAAAAGACTGATTATGTTATTAAAAACTAATAATTGCGAATTTTCACCAGTCTTCAAAACAAATTTATTATATAGTTAATGAAACAATCAAACTGCTGAAAACAATGAGTTATTATATCATACACCATACAATCCAAATTTAGCATCAAATGACATTTCATATCTTAAAGAAATAGATCAGCCTATTGTTTTGGATATGATGATGATATGAAATATATTGTAAAACTAAAGTCAGCAAAGAAAAAAACAAGACTCTCTGCTCTGTGAGCACCAAGAGAATCTTTCTATCAAACCCACTGTAGGTTTTGCCAGGGTCACAATGGCATGGCCAGCTATTCAAAATAGACTACCCTTCAAAATATTCTTGGGGTTTTTCAACCTGACTGGATTTGTTTCCAGAGCAGTGAGTTAACACCTTAACTACTTGGCACCCAGTTGACATTGGTAAGGTCAGGGGTGCACAACCTGCGGCCCGCGGGCCACTACGGCCCCCTATCAAGGTTTATGCGGCCCGCGGATGGTACAGGCCAAATCCCTTCTTTCNTTGGTAATGATGAGGATCTTTCTTTGCTTCCCTTTCCAAACATGGTATGTATGCGAACAAGCTTTTTCGCTTATGAATTTAAACAAGTGCCAAACACGGAACAGGTTAACCAACGAGAATTTGGAAAATTTGCTGGTTGTTTCAACATCTGCCATTACGCTAGACATCAAGAAGATTGCTGCCAGCATCCAATCTCATCCATCGCATTAATCACTTGGAGGTCCGGCCCCCAGTCAGTAAACTTAATCCTAATTTGGCCCTTCTTCAGAAAAGGTTGTGCATCCCTGGTAAGGTTATCACATGTTGCAACAAATGTCTTAAATTATCAAAGGGATTATGAAAAAATGTATGTTGCACATTTTTGTGTGATGTTCGTTTGCAGAATTAATTAATTCCTTTTATATATTATGCATTACAATCAAAAATAATACTGTAAGCCATCTTAATAGTTGATCTGTTAATATAACAGATCAACTATTGACTAGAACTAGTTCACATTACTGAGAAATAACCAATATTTAGATTTAACTATTGTTTTTTTCTAATAGTGCACAAATTTATTGGAATTTATGGAGTTTGTCTATATCATGATAATTTTTATTGAAACCAGAGTATTTAAAACAAAAAATAATATGATTATCAGATTATTTTTCGTTCTTACTGGATATTTTCCTTTAAATGCCTTTGTTTTCTTTATTGACATTTTCATGTTATAGTTATTTCAAATTTTTTTGCAGTTTAAAAATAAATGTCTGTATTCATCCTGTTTCCTTTTCAATAATTTGAAGTAAGTTGTTTAGATATATTCTGTTTATTTAATTGTATTCCTGGATACACAATTAATTTCCATATTGTATTAGATAATCAATATGGTCCTCCAGATTGAGATTTTGTGTAAGGATTACCAAATAAAACATTAGTATACTCATAAATAGGCCTTGGATTTAAGGAAAAGTCATACTTTTTTTATGAGTCCAATTGAACTCCTGACTTCACAGAGACATGTTTCAGGTCATGTTGAGTATAAATGAAAAGCTTTTATAGGTCTTATAAAGTCATATTTTGGCCAAAATTTTGGGATAGGTCTTTTTTAAACAAAAATATGGTATGACATCTATTTTTTAATTTTTGTTTTGGGAATTTTGTAGCCTTTACCACTACATTTTGAAATTGTCAAGTTTTTTCCAATTTTATCTACCGTTGTCACGTCATGATACTAGGGGTTGGCTTGCTTCTAGGGTTAGCTTTAAACAACAGAAGTTTTGGCACGTTTTCAAAAGAGAGACCTATAAGGACGAAACTGTCACTTCTACTTTCAGTAAATGCTAATTTTTTTAAAATTTCACATACCTTCAATTGTATATGTCCACTACTGGCAAAGTGGATAAAATCTCTGAACACTGGTAGTTGGTAATGTATTCATGCCTTGCCAATGGGCTGGCCATGTGGCGTTTTCCAGGTTTACTTCACATTAGTAACACCGAAATAGGGGCCAGTTTCCCATAAAAGACCTCCAAGGAGTCATTCCCCATCAGCAGATTGCCCATATGTTATGTTGCTAAGATCGAATAAAACCAAACCAAACAATTGTATACTTTATGACAGATAACCCAACTATGTAAGAAGGATAATTATACAACTTTTTAGAAAAGCAAATCTTAAATCTCAGTTTGGAAGACTGCTGGCTGTAATTACACAGCTGGAAACTGTGGGGATTCAACTGTGTGATGCCCTCAAGATTGTAGCTGATACCCAGGCATAGCAAGACAATTGTCCAGTAGCACAGATCATTTCTAGAAAGCTTGAAAGATTTTTTTCAATGAACAAGGGATTTAAAACCAAGAGGAAAATTGAAGCCATTTTTTAATGGAGAAGTAGCTACTTTGAAGAGGACAAATCTGAGCTCTCAAGCAGTGACATATATCCCAGACTTTCAGATAATTCACTCTTCCATATATAATACTTTGATATTCCTAAGTCACTTTTTCTATATCAATTTTGTACATCTTCAGCCACCAGACAAAAATTGCAAGTTATCATTTAGTAGCACTTTCTCCCAGTTTTAATTTTAATGATTTTAAAATCAATTGTTACAATATTTTCTAGTATTTTCTTTTTAAGATTTTAGTATTTTTAATAATGTTTTATGCATTTTAATATACTTAATATAAAAAAAAATAAAACTTTCTATCTTAATGTAAGATTTTATAATTTTTCATTTTCTCTGGGATTGAGACATCTTTTATAATACACAATTCCATTGTTTGACTTTTGGAATTTGACAATTTTAAAGAACACAGTATGTCTGAAACCAGATTGCTCATATCAGTATAGTCCAAATAAAATTTTGAAAATTCGGTAATCTTTATTTTATTAAACAAGAATTATGATAACCTTATAATCTCAAATACAAATAGGCACTAAATATATGATATTTACATATATTAACTTGCTATTTTATTTAAAACTCCATTAATGTTTTTAAAAATTCTATTTCAACTGGTAGTATTTAAATTTTAAAATTCTTATAACACTTTAAAAATAGTATTTTGAAATAAATGTAATTTTTCACAGTATATTCATAAAAGTAATTTTCAAAATTTCAAATTTCTAAAACAGAAATACATACCTGGCTAAAAGTTTTGGTAATGATGAGGATCTTTCTTTGCTTCCCTTTCCTTTGCGTAACTGTCGTGATCTACCACCACTTTCTTCTCGTTTTTTATAAATTCTTTCTTTATCTAATTGTATATGCTGTTGTTGAAAAGGTAAAAGTCTTTTTTGTTGCATAGCATTTGGATCATGTTCTATTGTCAACTGTAAAACTTTATTTGTTGATCGTATTAGACCTTCAATCTATTAAATGTTTAAAAATAGCAAATATAAATTTTCAATTGAAAAGAACTATATATATATATATTGATAAAATAATAAAACACTCAATCATATATAGTCAATTTTCAAAACCAGAATTCTTTTTACATCATAAGTAATAAATATCAATGATCTAAAACTGCCATAAAACTTAAATGATATGAGATTTTTACATTTCTTTTCTCCAATGTGACAAAATAAATAAAAGTAAGAATTATATAATTGTACAGTACATTTTTGTTTTTACTACTGTATATTATCATCAATAGGTGAAAATTAAAATCTCAACTATAATATATTTTACATTTAATAAATACTGTACAAATGATTTTTCTCCATTATTTACTAAATACAAGAGTTGTTAAGTAAGAATCATTTTGTCATAAGGTGATAATTTATTGTAACTCAACATCCTGATTTTTACAATGAAAATATGCCTTAAACTATTTTTCAACAAAATTCTGGTTGACATCAGGAGACAAGTTTGACAATCTCCTCAGTAAAAAACTCTATTGCATGTTCCTTGAACCAGTTGGTGACAGTCTTGTGGATGTCATCATCAGTCAGCATGCTTTTTCTATTCAAAAATTCAATCTGGACTGTATGGTAGATGTGGACCATCCACCATATAGTCCAGACTGAACAATACTTCCCACTAAAACTTCTGCAACTGTTTTTTGTGTTTTGAGTGACATGAGAATGTGCATTATAATGGAGCTTGTTTTCCCTTCACTGAATAATCAACACCATTTTGGCACATTTGCTTCATTCATTACACCTCCACATACTTCAATTACCTGTCGATGAATTTCAGCTGGCCAAATGTTTTGCATTTAAAAAATGAATCATCAACTGCACCTTGCAATTTGTGGAATTGACAATCAACATTGTTAATGAAATGCTACTAAGAAATTATGTGTAATCACTGAAGAGCACAGAGCTGATTGATAGGGTCATAGACATGTTAAAGCATGTTTCCCACCAAATGGCAGTCCAAAGCATTGACTTGAGTTGTTAGTATATGCAAACAATTCTTACTTTAAAAATGACCCTCATATAAATGAATAATAAGTAATTATTATTATTGTTTAATTTCTAAAGATTTTAAAGATCTCTTGCTCTCAATGTGCAAGTTTTTCATTTTTAATAACTTTTTTAAACTTTGACATTTTGAATATATTTTAGTGTAACAAAATTTCACTATAGTAAATATATTTTGATGATACCTACAATTTTGTTATAACAACATTTTACTGTATTAATAAATACTGCTATAGTAACTGCTTTGCATTAGTATCTCAAATTTGGTAGTTTATTATATTCTTAATTTATTTAATTTTAAACATATATCATTCAACATGAAACTTGTCTCCTATCAAATATGTATTTTAAAAATGGAGAAATTTTATGTATGTTTCCATATATTAAAAATTCTACTAATTGAGTGGAGCATAAGCAAAGTTCTTCATAAATCAGGAAGTGTTTTATGTATAATTGAAGTTTAAAGCAACTGCATGCTCACCACACAATATTTTGCAAATATGTACAACTCAGCAAGATCAATGTTGTGACAAGACCAGAATTTTGAATTTCAATCATGTAAAGTCTTTGGGCTGAATAAAATATAAATGAATTTTAACCATGTATATAGAATATACTTGTCCCAAAATGATAGCAATATCTACTTCAACAGTTAAATTGCAATTAATAAGCAATATAGCACACAGATGGTATAAAATACAGGACAGTAGTAGATTAGGGTAAATTTTTACAAAATATAATTCTGGAATATATGATAAAGGTTTTATTGTGAAAAGAGGAAAATCACTTTCTCAGTTTAAACAAGGTCAAATAACTGAACTGTACAAATTAAAACTTTCAATGAGGGATTTTCTAGAAAATTGAATCATTCTCATAAGTGACAAATTACATCAGTTCTAATCAAGAATATCAAACAAAAAAGCCATATGGAAAATCCCTGTACTGAATTCCCATCAAAAAAAAGAATAATTTGCAGAAAAATTAGCACTTCTACAATGAGTCAGAGGCAACTTGCATCTTCTCCAGCCATAAATGTACCAAAATCAATAGTATATAGAGTTGTCAAATCCTTATTCATCTACAAAATAAGAAAATGAATTCTTAATAAGTGATAGTTACCAATAACAATTATTATTGTGAAACAATGAGCAGTGGTTTTATTTGTAATAATTAATATAAACACTAAAATCATGTGGTTGAGATTAAAGGATGATCTCAATTAATTCATCAACCACTTATTATTGAAACCTTAGTGCTTTTAGAGAGCTGTTTTATTCAATTACATACTTCTTTTTATAATATGCATTTTGGCCAAATTACTAGTTTGGCCCTCTTCAGTTGTACTGTAAATTAAAGTACATAAAAGTTACAATTATATTTATAAATTATTCTAAGGAATATTTTCACAAAATTTTATGATATTACTTAGCAAATGTTTTTATATGTAAAAAGTTTAATTGTATCAGCTTAATTTTTTCTTTTTTTATTAATAATGTTTTCAGTTCTATTATTTACTAGGATACATCAAAATTAAATAACTCTTTTAGTTTTTTATATAAATATTTTTTAACAATTATAGGGTGACTTACATTTTGGATTTTTGTTATATTTTTAAAAATTTATTTTCAAGTAATTTGCCAAAATGCATATTATAAAAAAAAGTATGTTATTGAATAAAATATCTTTCTAAAAGCAATAACTGTCCACTAAGACATCAACAGTAAGTGGTTAATGAATAAATTGAGATCATCCCATAATCTCAACCACACAATTTTAGTGTTTATATTAATTATTAGAAAAATTCTGCCTCTAAATAAGAGCCACAAAGACATGAACTAAATATAACATGACATGGAATGATAAATGGTAACAAGTTATATTGATGAGAAGAAATTCAACATGGATGGACAGATGATTGGAGAAGCTATCTGTATGATATTAAAAGAAATGAATTAATTCACTCATGACAACATCAAAGTGTCAAAAGTATTATGGTGTGGTGTGCATTTGGATGAGGTAGTACAACAAATCTAGCTTCTATCTCTGAAAGTATTTATACTGTAGGATATCAAACAAGTACTAGATGTGCACCAAATGCCATTTGAAGAAAAAAATTAGAGGAACTTTTTCCACATTCAACAAGATAATGCATCCACTTATAATGCAAAATAAACTTAGGTGTGTTTTTGTAAATGATGTCATATTATTGACTAGCCCCCATGTTCTCTTGGTCTTAATCCTATAAAAAATATATTTTTTATTTTAGGAAGGTAAGTATACAGGAATGGAAAGCAATATATATCAGTGGAATCATTAAAAATGACAGTAAGTGATGCTTGCCACAAAATCACAGATGAGGAGAAGAAAAATCTTATTAAAAACAATGCTAGATAGAGTTTACAAAGTAACGAATAAACAAGGTAAACTTATTGCTTATTAATAATAAATAAAATCACTTATTTAAATATTGAAGTGGCTCTATCATCTTGGGACAAGTATATCCTACACAACACTGTTAAAATTCATTTACATTTTTATTTTATTACTATGTTTTGATAAAATTGTTGTTTTACAATATCATAATAAGCCAATAATCAATTCCTATCTACTGTTTTATAATATGCTTATAATTTCTTTATTAATGTCCATTATTTCACAGTGTTCTATCATTTCAGAACAGACTATATATATAATGCCAGAATTTTGAAATTCAATATATGGGCTGAGATGACTGAAGTCAAAATTTATCATGCAAACTCTACGGGACAAATGCCAGTTGTAAACTGGTTGCCCACTACATGTCAATCAAGTTTACAATTGCTGTCAATTTACATTGATCTCTACAACAATTTTTTTTTATTTTGCTCTTTATATGGGAATTTAATATGCACAATGTTGTGACAAAATCAATTTTTCAAAACAAGCACTGTGTGTATTTTAACTGTTTGCTGGGATTGCTAGGTTGCTGGCCACAGTGTGAATGTTTTAAATATTTCTTGACAGTTATGACGATGGACATGAATGTCCTACCCAAAGATTTAAACTGTTTTAAATAGAACAGTAGAAGCATCTTGCCACACTTATGCTTTTGTGTCAACCAAAACAGAAAAACCTACGCTGCAGAGCTTAGTTTTGTTTTCCTAGAAAAATACCTAGTTAATATTTAATTTTAATCCATACTAAAATAGAAAATTACCTCTAATAATGAATGATCTTTTACAGGTGTACCATTTACTTCAAGTATTCTATCACCAATATGAAGTGACATAAGATCTGGATTCATATCTAAACTGAACATAAAAGATAATTATCTCAATAATTAATTATTGTTAATCAAAAATTAAGTATTAATAGACATTTTCATGTAAAGAAAAATATGCTTATTTCAACATTTTTCAAATCTTAAGTTACAGCAGAAATATAAAACATT